GTCTTAATGTATATACATTTGGTATGATAAAGTTCAGAGCTTCGAAATTGAACCGAACGGAAAACAGACAAAAATCAATATTTTTGCAGGACCGAACAGCGGAACCGTATCACTATATTTTTTTCTTTTAAACTAGAATGAAAACCGAAACGGAAAAAATTTCGAGCTTTGAACTGAAACCGAACCGGAACTGAACCACTATATTTTTTTCTTTTGAATTGGAACGAAAACCGGAACGGAAAAAATTTTGATTCCATTAGGGCTTTGAACTGAAACCGAACCGGAACTGAACCACTATATTTTTTTCTTTTGAACTAGAATGAAAACCGGAACGGAAAAAATTTCGATTCCATCAAAGCTTTGAACTGAAACCGAACCGGAACCGAACCACTATATTTTTTTCTTTTGAACTGGAACGAAAACCGAAACGGTAAAAATTTCGATTCAATCAGGGCTTTGAACTGAAACCGAACCGGAACCGAACCGAACCGGAACCGAACCGCTATATGTTTTTCTTTTGAACCGGAACGAACACCGGCACGGAAAAATTTCCGATTCCATTAGAGCTTTGAACTGAAACCGAACCGAAAACTGGATAAACCAATAATTTTGCAGGAACAAAAACCGGAACCGAATCGATTTTTTTTTCTTTCGCCCTGGTAAGATATGGTAAAGATGCTGTATTATTGCGTCTCTTGTATATGTTTGCGAGTTTCGTGTTCTTAACTAATTAATTCTTTTTTAAATTTATTAGAGCTAAATTACTTAAAAGAAATTATAGTATTATTAGATTATGAAAGAAGTTGAATAATCCGAAATTATGAATATAATTATGATAATCCAGCAATTATTAAATATAAAGGAAAATTTATATTTCATATAATATCACTAAATAGTTAATAAAATTTTACTTCCACATGCTTGAAAACAGCACTTAAAGTAGATTATTATGCATATAAAGTGTTAACACTCTAGTTGTACAAGATGTTGTTACACCGAAATTTAATAGTTCAATTACGTAGATTTTGAGTTCAAACTATTCACTATTAAAGTTTTCTAATTTTAAAAAGACTAATCTAAAATTGAATCCAGTTTTTTAGAATTCTTTATCGTGATCTGTGAATTACATGAAATTATGAAATTATTTTTAATATAATATAAATTATTTGTAAATATGAGTTTAGAATAACTGAATAATGTATACATATATTTAAAAATTTTATTCCTAACTTTTAATACTTTCTAATTGAAATTAATTCTTAAACTTCATTCTAATACTGCTTTAATATTTTAAAAAATTTTTTTTCATATAAGTTCCTTAAATTTATCCTAATATTAAATTATTGTATCCTTCCCATGTATCACTTCGCTGTGCAAACATAATATTTCAAGTATTTTACAAAATCCCCACTTATAATGAACGTACCATTTGTTGCGGAACACATAATTATTTTCCTAAATAAGGATTTGAAGTGGAAACTAGCAGCACTCATCGCTTCATTACAGCAAATATCAAATTTGCATAAAATTCTTTAGTTGAAAAAATAAAAAATCTGGCTAAAAACGTTTCCCA